GTGTGGTATTGTGGTATCTCCCAACACATATGCGGCCAACAAATTGACTACCACCTATTGCATACCGACACGGGCTGAGAACGCTGAAATGGCCGTTAGCGATGAGTTGTCGTCGGCGACTTGATGACGTAATCCATCAGCACCTTGTTCCTCCGCCTCCATTTTCGCCGTCCTCGTGCGAACTCTTTTATTATGCGCCGCTGACTTCACACTCTTTTAATGACCGAATCCGAGCACTGCCTTGGCCACGTGCCACTCAATTTCCATTATTACACCCTCTACCATTAATCAGACTAACCAGGAAGTACGACAAGCATCTTGTAACGTCGTCGCGGTGGTTTCTCACGCTAATCTTCATCCTCTTCATATCACGTAATGTAATGTATAATCGTAGATGACAGAAGTGATTTATGCGACAACGCGCCGAAACACAACTCTCGGGAACATCAACGCTTATTGCGGTGGCGGCGAGGATGGCGTCACAGTTTGTAAAAGAGATAATCAACGACTGCAATTAAGTGCTAATACGCGAGAAAAATCGTCGCCGACTAACGCGGAACTTTCCCACACTGGGATTCTTCTCCTTTAACGATTATACGGGCAGGGCAAATGATTACACCTACAGAAATCGAAGGCAAAAAAGACGAAATGTTAAAAGGATGAATGAACATGTATTTCATAGCCGTAATGGCCACCATCGGATTATCATCGAAACTGTACAGAGCTCTAGACGAATCAGTCCTGAAGCTTCTCATTCATTACTCCAATCCGGTGAATTACTGTGATGCATGGAAGCTGTCTCAGTAGGACGTTCAATGTGGCCTCATCCACCAGTAAAGTGAACACTGAGGAACTGAACATAATTTGCTTGGCCCTGTGTGCATCTCGAATGGTACCATACTGATGCTATCGATACCTAGGTTTATTTGGAAGAAGACCGAAACCTACGCTGGCTCTAAAATACTCTATATGTAGATAGCTATTGACCATAGGGAAGAAATGTCCCGCCAGCGTTTCAACAAGATTTCCCAGCATTCACACTCAAGGCGATGGTACACCAACCCGAGGGGATGGATCAAAGAGCAAGTCATATTGACAGACGCCACAGCGAAAGTCAATTGTTTTTTAATATTTACGAGGCGTATGATTATGCATTGTGTGTGTGTGTCCGAAAAGTACCGCACGAGACCCATCACAAATAAATTGCACGTGGGAATTCGGGAGGAGACAACACACCGCAACAATACACGCCTTTCGCAAAGAGTGCAAACAAACACACACACACATACACTCGGACGTTGGTCTTTTCGGCCACCTCATTTGCCGACGACGACGCCCGTCACAACAACATGCATGTGTCGTCGCGAAGTGACCATCGTGTGTGAGCGCCGATGATTCATAGAATGACCACAGGTTTTTTTCGTAAAACGTCTAGTTTTATCGCGGACAAAAACAACAACGAGTACATAAAAAGCCCACGAGTTCGCATGTCAATGTCACTCTCAACCAATTGCACTTTCTCGTTTTCTCGAGAACATGTGCACAAAAAAAACGCATTACGTGCTCTAATTAGTAAACTGCTAATAGAAAATCGCAGTCAAGGTCTGCTCCTATTTTCGGCTCGATCCTTCTTTCCTAACTTATGTGATTTTTTTCATACCACGAAGATTTCTTATTTTCACTCTCTCTTTCCATTGTTTACCTTACCAGACTTATTTTATGAATTTTTCCCATTATAAGTTTCTAGTCGATTCAAATCAAGTCACATCAGGTTTGACAAGCTCAAAAAATTTCTTATCTGAAGCCTATATTTTACGAAACAGAGCTGACCCATCTAAATCATTTTGTAAATATATTTTCCTCACGATTTTGATCACCAATGTAATCATCCAAATCCAGAGGATCTAAGAAGTATATAGAGGTCGATTAGACCTAATGTAACTTCATGAGAGCGCAGCCAAAACGATAGCAAAAATTTTTTCCTTGTTACCTCCATCTTAAAATCAAAGCTCAATTACTCACCTGATGGAAACCCGCATCTCCTCCCACAGAAGACTTATTACTGAGCAAATTGTTCAGTGTTGGTGTTGGAAAGTTCTGGAACAATCATTTCAATAAATTGGTTCGATCAAAAATTCCTATCTCTTAGATGGGTTGAATAAATTGATTAGGGGAATGAGGGAGATCTGTACCTGTCCAGATCCGTCTGGGGGCGGTTGTCCATCTCCAGTGGACATCTCTTTAATAACTCAATAATGGAACCAATGTGCAATGTGAGAGCATACAACGTTGCTACTCTGAAACTGAAAAGCTGACGACGTTCGATGAAATCACGACCTGTGGGCAATAGGAAAAACGTGGGAACACGGATCACAATCATCGCCAAAGAAACTCAGGAAAAAGGCAAATGACATGGGAATCCTCCTCACTCAAAGTGACTCAACCAATGTCCGTAAAAACATTGCTTAAATTGACACTTGGCGATAGTAATTCATTTGAAACTGAATGAATTGCTCGATCAGGCTAGCGTTATCAAACAACAGAAGGCTCTTCTTTTGTTTCTGAGGACCATAGAATATAACAATTCAAAGATTTTATATACATTCAACAACGTTGATTGAAAAGCCACTACGTTATTCGTTAGTCTTGCCATAAGCCTGAAGAACCAGGGAATTGATTAATAATGAACTATCCATTAATATAAAGCTGCATAACGAGAGCAATTTAATGGTTAAGACATAACTGATAAATCTTCACTAGTATTTAGTTTGGAAACCCCTTAGTTACCAAAACAATCTCATTAGCCTGGAAAATGCTAGGATAATGGACTTCGGCGTTATGCATGGGTATAGTAAGTAACCTAATCAATCATTTAATGAGTCCTTTATTCAACACCTAACCCTACGCAATACAATCACCTAGATACGACTAACATAAGAGGAAAGCATAGTAAAATAACGTGAAAAAGTAATGAAAATCGCCAACCTTTTTTTTACTAGAGTGGTGGGATCTACTTTCTCTCCGGTTAAAAACGAGCCTAATTCAATTAAGTGAATGTTACTCATCACAAGTATTTCCATAAAACTTCGTTAATACAAAACGACCTCATTCACGAAAAACCAGTACCAATGATCAAAGATAAAACATTTTAAATGATGGTGTAGCAACATCTGCGAAATGACTGTCACACTATAAATTCAGAAAAATGCAGCCAAAAGAAGTTCACGTTCGGAATCTTTAAAATTTATGAGTTTACAAAAGTGCTGAAAAAGCTAAACAACGTCGAAGTAAAATGGACCGTTTAATTCGATTGATAATTTCTCTACTACAACGATTTTGAAAGATGGCAAAAGCTGTAAACCTCCAAATGTGCCCCTTATCTATTCAGGACCCACCCGTATATGGTCCAAACGCAATGTCGAAGTAAACCATGCGATCTTAGGGCTTCATCAGGTTTTCAAAAAAGTAGTTGCCGAAATACACGATGAGAGTAGTATTATGAACGTGGGTTTACGAATTTCATGAAAAAAAAACGTAATCTCGTGCACGAAAACATAAGAACCAAGAAGAAAACAGTGTGAAACTTCTATTTTTTCTGCAGCTAGCTCATGGTATGTGTTACTGAATAAACTAACTGGCTCATTCATGGGTGGTTTCTTTTATTACAAAGATCGGAAATCTCGATGTTCAATCAAGTTTGCTTTCAGCCCGTTGATCAGACCAATGCGTCCGACGTACGAACTTTGAGAGGCAGTTTTTATCCATATAGCTAACAAAGTACACTGTTCGACCTTGATGTTGCCAGGTTCGTTCGAAGTGCGCTTTTTGCTGTCTGGAAAGAGCATAAGTGTCCCGATAATTAGTGCGTCAAGGAAGCGTCACACACACACGTCGTCGTCGGAATATTGCAATGGAGATGAAGCGTGAGAAAAGCGAAAAGAAAGCGCGGGAGTCGTTTTTCTGTTCGAATAATCGGCGCTTGCGGCTGCGTGTGTGTGCCTGATGGTCAGCGCGTTTATAAGAGTGTATGGATAACTGAGCGCAGGAACGAACGGTGATGACGGGGCCCGTCTGGGTGATGAGCCGCCACGAGTGCGAAACGCCGGCAAATCGGAATCGCTGTGGCCTGAGGCGCCAAATGTGATGAAATACGACATCTACAAAGGTATGAATGTGATGTGAAGATGATCGGATGATGTCCACATAGAGGGATAGACATACAGACGGAGAGAAACGGAGGGAGAGAGCGGTGGTTCGCTGCTAGCCCCGGCCACAGTGGGGGCGCGCTGTCGCTTGGCCCCACCCACATATTGATCGCTGCGCTAGCCTAAGCCAAATCGGCGGTGCTGTCGGCTGTGGAGCTCGAGCTCGTGGCACGACGCGGAGCTGTTCCAGCTACTTCCCGGCTCGGCCACCTCGAGCAGTTCAGTCTTGTCTCAGCGTTTCCGGCTGGTCACTATCTTCAATAACAGATTTGTAGTTTGCTCGCATCTCATTATTGCCGCCGCCGCGTCAACCGCCGACCGCGACGCCTCGTTACGTGTTTGAGAGGCGTGTGCGCGCTCCCCAACAGCGCAGACTCCAGCCGCGGCCTCCCGCGCGCCACACAAACAAAGACACGACGAGGCCTTATCGCATTCGTCCAACGTCTGCGTCCCGAGTCTTCAACACGCAGCGCAGTGTTCCCTGCAAAATTACGGCTGCGCCCTCGTCATTTGCACGTTCTCTAATAGCTGTCTAACCACCGAAAGTGTGGCAATTTATTACAAGTCACGATTAGTGCGCTGCCTGCGTCTCTCGCTGTCTCGTCATGCCCTCGTCGACGATCGGCCCCGGCCGGCCAGCCAGCCGCAGCCCAACGAGCCGAGCTCGGCCGTCCCTCGTCACGGCCAGCGCCCTTGCGCTTAGAACGAGAAGCCGTATAGTTGAGTGATTCGTGAGGGTTTCAGGAGACGTGCCTGGCTGTTGACCGACGGTGACCGCAGCCAAGTGGGAAGGTGATGGCTTCGTTTCTGGCCGATCTGCCCTGCTCAGATCCACGACACTTTTCGCAACTTCCCGACAAGGAAATGAAGGTACGTCTGTGGAGTTGGTTGGGGTGCGATGTTGACCGCAATTGCAGAAAACTTGTGCGTTACGGGACAGTGGAAGGGGTACTCACCGATAAACTTGGACCGATTTGCCCAATGATCATGATGCGTATCGATTACGTGGTCGTAAAATAGCAAGCCTTGGCATAATTTTTGCCGGGGAAGTCGTTGGGCTGAGATTTACTCATAGAACAGAGCAGATAGCAAAAAACGAAGACTGGAAAATGATTCGACTTGAGTAGAAGTAGATCAATACAGGGCATGGCACTGCTTTCTTTCAGACTGAGTTTTCAGGGTTACATATTGCATTCATCTGCTCTTTTGGACGATAGGCTTTCTCGGGCTTTTATTTTTATTTGTTTCTCCTGAAAGGAACCGGGATTTTAGAAGGACTGTTTGGGATATACTTTTCAAGGTTGCTTGGGCATGACGTCAGTATATCTTTCAAATGGGAGGAAAAAACCGAAAAACTAGTCTACCAATGTAGCGAAGTGAAGTGGAAAATTGCAGTCAAGGGTCTCCCAGAGCGAAGCTCACTGTAAAAGTTTCCTCAGTTATACGAATTTCGCTGGCTTAAAATAGGTTCTTATCAGCATTAGATCTTCTTTAGTACAGTTCAGGTTGTAAAACACATTAGGGAACAAATCTGGCATATTTAATTTTCAGCCGTTTAGAAATCGCTAAGTTACAGTGAAGGGTTCTATTAGTGCTCAAAGATTCACCAATTCAATGGGCAAAGTAGTGACGATAAGACTTCACGAGGTAGGCGAGTAGAAAGTGATTCTTGATTCTTAACCGTGTAGGAAAAAGCTCAAAGGCAATTTAAGGTAATAGTACTGCAAAATGTGGGAAGAGGATTATCAGCACTTGTGATGCGATTGCATAATGATAAGCTGTGCCCATAATGCGTTTGAAACGTATACAACCCGATGCTAAGCTATGCTGAGGTCTGCATTGTTTCGGTACAGAGGTGTGGATACTCACTGCTCAATCCAACTAATTAGATCCCAACATAATTTTATAATATTTGTTTTCGAATCATCTTTGCTAGAGTTGCCATGTGATAGGTAATAAAATTAATTCAAAGCGCTCATCTAAAAAGTGAAGTAGGTCTTTTAGATTGCGCACCGTTTGAAATATCGTTGACCGTAATTGTTCTGTTCATTTCACTTCTTTGACAATCATTTATAAACAGCGGTCCAGTTAAGGCTGGTACTTGCTAATTCTTTCGTACTATTGTCAACATTGTATTTGTCATGTGATGTCATCATTCTCATTGAGTGGTACTTTATTATCCTTACCTAACTAAAATATTTAAATCATTCTTTTTGAGTGAAATTTCGTGCAATGTCCACAATCAAGCTAACCCAAGGTAGGTTCATAGATGGTTTTACACCTAGAACCCATGGTTTTGTGCGCGATTGTAACTTTTGGACTTTTTTAACGAAACAGTGAATTTTTTAAATAATGGCATTGTCCAGTTTTTTGAACGAAATTGCGGTAATAGGAAAAATGTACAAACGTTTGCTATGCTACATGCATATGCTCGTTTCCTCTTCTTTAACAGACATTACAACTTCTTACGATCGTGCCAACTCAAATTAGTATGGAACTTCCACGTAGAAGCGTTCAAAAGGTATCTTGTCAATCACGCACCTTCATAACTATGGACTAGACACATTACTTACAACTATAAGGCTGCAATTATTTGAATGCGAACTATCTGTGATCTCTAAAATCTCGATTAGTTACTCTTTTTCGGGTTAAAATCGAATGATTTTATATACAGAAACATGCAAAACAAAGTTCAGTGTATTTACTTGAACTTTGTGCAACTAATCATTTGGACTGAAATAGTACTCCCCCAATATTTTTGTGTTCTCTAATTGCAATAGTCCAAAAGTCACTTTGGCCTGCACTTATTAGTGGAAGTACATGATATTATTGCATTGCTACTAGGTGCAGAGGTTACCTCGCTCACTTTTAGTACTCACTCGCTTGATATAAGTTTTATGAAATACAGATAAGTCAACAATGATTTTCAGACTCAAGACGGGACAAAAGATGTAAAAATTGCCTATCATGTACCACGTCGGAATGATGAGAAGCAGATTACCAACGACAAAAAGCCGTATATACTACGTTTCTTGGAGAAACAGTGGGACGTGAGGGTACGTTTCAGCAATCAAACTTCAATATTGTGTGGTAATAGAGTAGCCACAGAATTACTATTACTCTTTTCGGTTTAGAATCAAGCGGAGAAGGAGTCAAGAGTCGACTCGCCAAAAATGAAAAAGAAAAAGAAGGCAGACGTAATGAAGAAGCGCGCCAGTAGCGATGCCCCATCGACTTCGTCGGATCCAAAAACGAGAAGACTAAACTAAAACTGATCTTTCAAATGATCTACGGGTTTACCATTGTTCCTTTTTCCATATTTTGTCCCACAAACACTTATTGACAACTACTTGTGATTAAATAGAGATTTATTCACAATACCGTAACTTACACACTCAATACCTAGACTTGATCTTTTCTGAATATGTTCCGCGAACAGGACAACTGCAGTAGTCGCCATCGTTTCCTGGCTCTCCCTGCTCTCCTGCCTTAATTGGGAACGTTGATGTTAATGTCGTGCTAGAATTGCCAGATAATGCATAACCAACCGGTCCAGGAAGTCCATCGAACCCAGGTAGGCCGTCCAATCCAGGGAACCCTTGAGGTCCTTCTGCGCCAGGCTCTCCACAGGATCCGTGTTCTCCGTCCATTCCAGGTATTCCAGGCCTTCCAGGTAAACCAGGCCTGCCAGGAATACCTGGCGCACCTTGGCCAGTGAAGCAGTCAGCGCCAGGTGGTCCAGGAACGCCATCCTGAAATTGACCTTTCTACAGATGATCGTGACTACAGAAAACTTTGCATTGTTTCTATGTCAAAAAGTTTTTTTAAGACCAAAGATGATGACTATATAGATGAAGTATATAAGGAAGGAAGGGAATTGCGTGCATGCTTGGTGTTACGCAATGCAGCCGCGTCATTCTGACCCGCTCACCCTTTTTACTTGCAATGTTCTCAAACCTATTAACAAGAACTCGAGTTCGTACAGCATTCAGTGTGGTATAAATACTATGTGACTCGTCTCCTATGGATTCTAGGGAGCTGTAAACATTCTGTCTCATATTCAATACCATTTCGTATCATGACTATCAGCTGAGGCAGTCAAAAAGCTTTCCTTTGATATTAGGGAGAGGGGGAAGGGAGGGGTGGGTGCCGTGCAGTATAGATGTCGAATAAAATGGAAAATTTCTAGAGCTACTAGCCAGTAGCAGTAGCACGGATTCCATTGTGAGACACGCTGTTCTTGGCTACGGGTTATATGGAACCTGTTTGCATTTATAACAACCCAAAAAAATCTCTAATTTCTGTGAAGACAAGTAGTATAGTGACTGTAAGACTATTACACACTCTCGATCAAATATTCCTTCGAACTGGAGAATCCTCAATGAACTTCAAATAAAATGGGGAAGTTAGAAGCTTAGAATTGCTACTGAACTTGGCTAGGAACTTGTCGAAAAAAAAAAGATTCGATGCATCTCAACACTTGCCTGTCCCGTCATTCCTATCTCTCCTGGTTCTCCTGCGTCGCCTCTAGGTCCCGGTTCTCCATTTGCACCCGGGAGTCCTACACGACCCATTTCACCCGGTAGACCAGGAGGTCCAGGATAACCAGTCGGACCATCCTCACCTGGCGGGCCAGGCGGACAGCGGATGCATGCTAAACACATCTTTTCTTAAAATGACTGTGGGGACGAAAGTTTCAGGCTTACTTTTGGGATAAATATCAAGATTGTTGGTTGCCCTTCGTGGAGGTCCTGGAGGTCCATCCGCTCCATCTGGACCGATTTCTCCTGGCTCTCCCGGTGTTCCCGGTGGTCCTTTTGGACCCGGTGGACAAGAACGTTTTGGTAGACCGCAATCTAATAATATCATCGTCACACAAATTCATCGAAACAGAAAAAACTCGTGAACCTACAGCAAATGTTGTCACTTCTTTTGTGTCTACCAGTGAACCTCGCGAACGGTGAGCGTTTCATCTCATCACTTCCAAAACCCATCATTTCAGACCATGCATCTTCAGAAACTAGCTAAAAAAGTTTAACTGCATGGTCAAAATTACAAACAAGTCGAATCAATCATTAAAATTCTTCAGCTTCCACACGACCGATAGAACGTGTAGGGCGCGTTAGTCCCTCACGCATCGCCAAGGTAAAATTGCAGCTGGAACCTCGTCCATATAGATCAAGTTTACTTCATTTGCAACGTTACACAAGGGCTACCACTTTGTTCTAAACGATAAAGCCCTCCTCGCATACTAAAAAAACATCACAAGAACCTGAGCTTTCGAAAAAAAAAAACAATACTACTCTGAGATGCAATTACATGTACGGCGCACCTTAAATAGCTCATGCTAGTTGAGTGGATAGTTGATGCTACACTATTTCTAGTTTTTTCCCCTCTTCTTTTTTAATCAACGAATACAAACCATCGGGCGAAGGTGGTCTGGTGGCAAGTGGCGCATTATCACACGCGTATGATCCGTGGGTCAAATCCCTCATTGATATCCGCCTAGGCGAACCAGGCCTTGCAACCCTCCGGCGTGGATTAAACGCATTCGCTATGCCAACATGACTCTGAATGGGAGTCTAAACGGGTGGTGCATCCCGATACGGGGATCGGCACTCAAAGCTTTACCGTTTATTCTTCATACAAAGAACCAATCAGGTACTGTAGATTCATATTTGGTATGGTCATTAATGGTTATAAGTGAACCTTTCCTAACAAAAACTTGCCTAATCAAATAGGGAAAGTTTGCTAACCATGGAACTTTGAGTGGAAATCAATACGAGTCGACTGAGTTCTGAATGGAAATTGAAACTGCGAGATAGATTTTCCAAAAACATATGGCGCTCGAAATTCGCTTGACAGTAGTGTCAAGCGAATTTGAAATGTGAACTCTTCGTTTCTTTATCGAGCATCGTGTGGCGCGGTAGTAGTGGTCTCACTTCACAGGCGGAAGATGCGGGTTTGCTACCCGCAATCGTCAGGATTTTTGCATAATGCTCTTTCGCTCCATTGTTTGTCTCCAGTTGTAGAAAGGCAGCATGTATAAGGTGTTCAGTTTGTGAACAACACGTGTGTTTCACACACCTTTCCAGGTTTTCCATCAACGTTGAGCTCCTCACAGACATCTTATACATCTCTGGCATCTTTCCATTGAATGGATCTTGAGGTTAGTGTCGAGACAATTTCGAGCCCCCATTACTGTTTCTGAGGAGGCCATTTTGCAGTTTCAACTTCCATATTCGTGAACAACATTCAAAACTCTATCGATTCATCTGGGTCTCCGTTCGAGATTCCACCGTAAGTAAACTACCCTTCCTCGGTATGTATTATCAGGCTCGCTGGCTAAAACCGATGGGTCAATTTGCACCAAACGGTGAGAGCGAATGCTAGAAATGTTATCGACGATGTATAATAAAATTTTCATCGAATATCACAACAAGATTTGTTGCTAAACGGATAACATTCACTTAAGGAGGTGCGGCAGCCAATAAGTTAGTCATTCCTTTTGGCCGACTTTACGAGATTAAGCCTGACCTTGTGAAGAAAACATTCAATCAAAGTCGTTAGACTAGCGTCAAAACTATAATATTTCAAAATTAGAGAATGATTATCTCACTCTACAGAGTAGCCACGTGTTCTAAATGCTCGTTCCCGCTCTACACTCTAGAAACGAAATGCTTTGCTCATACCAGCTGGCTGAGATGCACGGTCGGCACAGCGAATTGACAAGTTGGGATTCATAGGATGAGGATAAGCCAAGGGGTTTCGTGCTGATATGTTGAAGCAAGCTTGCTAGAGTGCCCTTTTTTCCAAAAGCCATTAGTCGAACTAATCTATATCGCTTATGAAAACTGCTCATGTCTTTCTTCGCTAGCCTTACATCAAAATTGTATTAGCCCTGGCATGAACAGAAGGAAATCGGAAGAGGAAAACTCGTCCATTTTTGCTTTCTCAGGGCAACCAAGTGTTACTTACAAATTTCTTTAATGGGGAAAGAGGGATTATGGTTGTAGGTGGTGGTGTTTCGCATTCAGAAAGACAACATCAAGAGGTTGAACGTTCTCAACTGACTCACTTTGAATTCTTCGATATTCTCCATGACTTCATTGTGCATGAAATGGATTTCCTGGATGATCAACCATCCGACACCTATGCAACTCGATACGACGATAAAAGACAGTACAGCTGAACAGTACACTGCTGATGAGAGCATCCTGGAAAAACAATGGTTGTATCTGGTGTGATTTCGTGGGAAGGAGAAAAGATGAAAAATGGGAGTCAGAGAAATACATAGGTTCTACATTCGAACAGAGATGCTCTTCACGACTTGGACTCTCTAGCGGATATTACCCTTGCTTCTGCCAGAGCACGAAAGTATCGGAGTATCGGAGAACTCCTAATACGACTGCTCTCGGTAGAGCCTCGAGATTTACTCACAGCGGTGTCGCGAAAGAAGCGCGTCATCGTAGAAGCAAAAATTAACGTGGTGCCCCTCAGTTCTGTTGACATTTCTAAACCGTGCCCTTTAGTAACGTTTTCTTGACCACAGAAGCAGTCGTTGCATTACATTGTGCTTAAATTAAAAGGAGTACAGCTGTTGTCGCAGCGTCAGGGTAGGGTCAAATAGCCATAATCTCAATGAAAACAAGGGCAATCTCCGTTGAAAGCGACTAAACTTTAAGAATGCTTGAAAAAACTATTGGAGTAGCTATATCATTTCCATTACTGCTTTTACTTCTGTCTGGTTCCTTATGGAAGTAGGAAATTCCCGCTTGAGCCTAGATTATGATCTAAGCACTTTCGCACCAGAAAGTCAATGTTTCCTTTGAAATACTCAATCTCAGATTAAACATGGACCCGAATGCACCTAATCGCCCCTTTCCGCAGTGTGTTTGTACAAGCAGTGTACGGTAGTTGGAAATGAAACAATTACGGTAGACTAGTAGTGACTCAGTATTGAGAGTTGTGCAAGAAAGTGAGAAATGGAGGACTGGAAAGAAGGAAGTAATCTAGAAGGACATCGTCCTTGTCGTCTTTATTAACAAGAGGAACCAAAGCAACATTAAACCGCTCTCGTCGCACCCTAGCATGGATTTTATAGGGTTGATAACGGGGCACGGTGCTCTTTGTTAGGATGTCATCGGGATAACTTGAATCTTTTCAACGTTCTTATCGAAAAGGTCAACACTTTGACAAATCGCGAAATTCGACGGGAAAGAAACATCCGTCGGCTGCAGATGAAGAAAAAAACCGAAAACCCATTCGCGAATCGAAAAGGAAACGAGATAGCGATGAATCCGAGGGGGGAAGACGAGCTGTTTGAGGTCAACGAATCGCTAGAACCGATCGCTTCTCAACCTGTTGAAGACATAACCGGGAGTTGGAATGAGTGCATTGCGGTCCAGAAAAAACGACGCGTGAAATCGGATATCATCCTTCCGGAGCGCTAGCGACTTTGTGATTCAATTTATCCCTCTTCGCACACCCATACACACGCACACACCACATCACAACACAATACATACAATTACAAGCATATACTATTAGGTTGACAGAAAGCCTATGCCCATCTTGGTTTCCATGTTGCAAAACCTTTGGGGATTGCTTTTGAACGGTCTCCGTGGAACATATGCAAGTGCAGGGAAATGCACTATTGGCACTATATCTGCCTAAATATCTGGCAACATTTTTGGCTGAAAGAATCGCTCTCGAAACAAAGCAAGCTGGACTGCTTCCCCTGTATGTGTTAAGAAAAACGTAACTCCAAATCGTGCGGCTAGGAACATATATGGGCGATGGGCCCTCCACTGTATCTTACATCACACGGGAGCTTCTTACAGGAGCTTAATAGCCATCACGACACAGAGGCTGCCCGTACGCATCTTTTCGGAAAGCCTTGGAGATACAGCGCATGGACATCTCATGAGCTGAGTGGTCACCAGCTCCAACTGATAAGAGAAATATATCACATCACACTGGAGATGCCAGAACCATTTAATTTTTCAAAGCTTCACGAACGACTGGACGACCTCACCGGCGACGAGAAGTAGGTTCTACGGTAGTACGTAAGTAGGTAGTAGTAGGTACGTAACCCTCACGAGGGGCGCAATGCTCAACGTTCGGTGGAATTCGGAAGGGATCGTTCACTAGGAGTTGCTTCCATCGAACTCCAAAGTACCGAATAAAGAATAAGACCCCAATAAAACATCAAAGCTCGGGATGGCCTGTTCTGACTCATCCCTCGTATTCAACAGAACTTGCGCCAACAGACTACACCTATTCCTGTCGCTATCAAACCATTTTAACAATAAGAAGTTCGATGATGTGAACCAACCTGAGACGTGTATCGGCGAGTTTTTATACCCTAAACCTCAGGAGCTCTATACGAGCAGGCCTTAAATTGTCAGAATAATAGTGCTACATAAGTAGAAGATACACATCTATCCGAGTGTGGCGAGTGCTATCACTAATATACGTTTCAATACGTCAATTATGGACACTCTTCACTAGACCTTTACTCAAGGTCATTGTAGGTATCGGTAGACATCTAAACATAAAGACTATAGAAGCTAGTTACACAGTATACCTTATCTCTGCAATAATACTTGTATTTTGTTACTGACTTCTATTGTTTTTGAGATTCATTTTACATAGCCATTACATAGGTAGATCTGTGAGGTGTGAGGTAGAACATTAAAACGAGAACTTATCCTCTAAAAAACCAAATAATAATCACCATCCGACAACAGATTTAGTGGGGAACGATCAAAAATTTGAATATATAATGTAAGAACACTCTAAGGTATCGAACTTTCACCTTAAACCGATCCTGAAAGCTTCAAAATCACCATTTTACTTGCCTTATTCAAGAAATTCTAGCCTTATTGAATTTCCTACTGTGTTGGATGGAAAGAAAATCTTTTCGGCAGGAGGCCTCCAGGCTGAACTTGTACTATGTCACTATGTCTCGCGAATCTTTCCGAATAAACAAATGAATAAAAATTTTTGAAGGAAAAGTCGTTCTCAGGTAATCTCCACTTATATGGATTAGTTTCCTCTTGTGTTGAAGTACATTCAGTTTTTTTATTAGTATGCATTCAAAAGGATAAATAATGGACACTTCGCAGTGTATCAATCAAACGTAAAAAAGGAGATCGATAGATAAAATTGTAGTTCAGTAGAATAGAACCAAGGATGGTGATGAGATAGAACAAAATTTTTGCGAAAAAAAATGCAAAAATAAGAAACGTACATAAATCTCCATAGTAGGATCGGATGTCAACTTACCCTTGTCACGGTAGTTCCTTGACCATTGAATTCGTTAATGACACCAACCAATGTAGTCGAAGGATCTGCCCTCGTTCGAGGGACATGAAGTGCTAAGCGAAGCCACCATTAGAAGTCGGACCATCGGACTGGCTGCTGCAGACTGGCGTCTCGCGCCGCTCGTTTCGCGCTCTGAGGAATCTAAAAGTAGCTGCCCTGGCACGAAGGTCAGCAAAAAATCCTCTTCTTCGTTGGACCCACTTTCGATTCCTTTTTCAAGAATTGTGTGAATTATTGTATGCCGGCTATCGCTGCTATACTGTACAGCGGACGCATGACGTTCTAGAATAGGGGGTACAAAAAGGTATGAGCAAGACGGTATCGCTCGTTGAACGTCTTGCTTCAATTCAGTGATGATCATCCAAATTCTCTTCGCAAAACTCCAGTCCAGTTCACTAAGGAACAACTATCAAGGACGGTACATTTTTAGGAGGTGCACTTCTTTTTCCTGCGAGCAAAAAGGACGAGTAAGAGAAGTGCGAGGTCCAAATAGCCTTATCCATAATTCAGGGGCCTAGCGTGTCGTTAGTCAGAAGAAATGCAAAGCTCAAGGCTCCCACCTTATTTGGTATCTAATATCCATCCCAGTAAAAAATGATTCGATCTAAGCAGAGTAGAGCGAGAATTTCTGAGAGGCTCGTTAGTCGGAACACTCGAATATTCAGTAGCTCAATATAGTCGAATATCTCCATTCTCAACAGCCACAGACGTGGTAGGGGAGAAAACAAGCAAGCCTCTATGGTGGAAGACGACTTTCTCCACAGCAACCAACCACCTAGGAACTCAGAAGCAAAAAAAAATGAAAAGCGGCATAGAAGACTGCAAAATCTTACTCAAAACAATGAGAATGAAAGAGTAAGAGATTCAAGAAGGAAGAGGGAAGGAAATTATTTCACTTCAGAGTCCCATGTGTTTGCCATCACTTTTGAACATTTGCTAAAAAAGCAGTGGGAATCAAGAACCATACCTGTGAAAGAAAAAGGGGACCGCTGTAGTGACATGCCAAAACTCATGCGACAAAAAGTTTCCCGCCACTTGATTAATCAATAGTGATCAAGGATTAAGTAAGGGTTGAGATCAGTAAAAGATAGCATAAATTATGTCCATACAGGACATTCAGTGGTAAACGTCTGAATATATATCAAAACAACAGAACATTTCAGAACTACCCAATTAACCTAAATTTAGGTCACATGGCAAAAACGTTGAACAATTAATTGCTGCTGCGTAGTAACAATTCATTTTTGTGTCAAACATATTACGTATAACATCGTTCAAAGAAAAATAGATAACTGGTTAAATATCATTCCCAGAAAAGGAGAGGAACTTGCCTGGTGATCAAGTAACGATGAAAGCTGGCACATCAGCAGTTCAGCTGGCTGCCGACTATTTCATTCTTCCGCTCGAGTCTCAGAGGCATTGTAGCTTTCATGGAGCGCTTTATCCAAGATTGAAGGGCTAAAAATGAAGGTTCCGGGATTTTAAGTGATCAGAAAATCTGGTATTGATAGGTTTGTTGACTAGTTCTTATTTATTTGTTCCGCACATGACCATATCTGAGCACTTTGGTGGTTAATGTGAGTCTGACATCTGATTGATGCAACTGCCAAAATGAAGAACAGCCTTAGTCAGTTGTTCTGCCAATGACACGTCTTCTTGGCTTGAAATAAGCGCGAGGAAGCTCAATCCAGGAAGGTGCTTCCTAAAATTAAGTGCCGTGTGCAGAATACAAGGGCATAGAATAAACTAGCTTGGCAACTAGGTAGTTGCGTATACCTTAGTGGAACAGAATTGCTTTTTTCATAAAAAAAAAAAAANNNNTTTTTTTTGAACGACTCCTGCTGTTGAGAATAGTTTTCGAGAGTTCCTCAATACCGTTCCTTTCTAGTTTTCAAAGAAGGCGATATCGCAAAAATGTCGGATGACTCAAAGATAACTAGCCTGATGACTAGTTAAGTTTAGCGAGTTCAATGGAACCGTGCAAGTAATCGTTGATGTCAAGCAACTCGAAATTACATCGGTGAAAAAGAACGTACGCTCACGCTAACGGGATCAACATCGGAAGCCCCTCTGCAGAACAAATGTATCGACTGCTAACAAGCGTTAGGCTCACTAAGGAGCAGATGATAACAAAAAGAATATGTATTTGCATATATCTCAGGCTGGAGCGCACGCAAAAACTCCACATCATAGTTAGAAGGGAGCTATTTACATTCCAGTTTCTGATTTATTCGCCTTGTAGAAGACAGTAGAAGGTCAACGTTGAAATCGACATGTATGGGCAGACGTCAAAAGACAGTCGCTGTCTGTGGAAGATGTAAGATGGCTGCAAAAGCGTTTAACTTGTATCTTCGATGATAATTCTCATGAAATATCAAATATGAGTACTAGAGTGTTACAAGTAAAGTAGTAGAAAACCTACCCAGGCATAATATCGAATGGGTGCTCGCAATTCGCGAAAGGAGAGTTAGTCATCTCAATGGCTATACTCCATGAATTCAACTACAAGCACAGCTGTAAATAAACATAAATACAAGACAGATATAACAGACTTGTTAAGGTACAAGTACTCCTTTGGCACAGTTGCCCCTAAGCTCAAATTTAAAGTAAAATAGAATCATTTTGCACTGAGCTTTATTATAAATTCGCATAATCTGAATTTATTGTCGTGAAAAGGCATCACAAATCAGTCATAATCAATGAGACAAAAAATGAAATAATTTATGTCGATTTAAAGATAAAAGGGATTAAATTTGGCGAAAAGAACATGCCATAAAATTCGAATAAACAAAACTATAACACTACTCGAAAGCGGTTATTCCTATGAAAAGTGGCAAAGACAGAGTAAGTCAACTCAATTTTCAGTCATACTTTCAATCACAGAAAAAAATAGTATGCAAGGCTCAACTAGTCAAAAACACGACTACAAAAAAAGTACAGAAAGGCAACCGTAAGAGTCTCAACTATGCACGCCTTCGACGATGTTTCTTCTTCGATTTCGTCTTTTTTGGACAATCACAATAACCACCGTCATCACCAGGAANTCCGGCAGCACCAGGCTATAGAAGAAAACAAGAAAAGAAATTTTTATAACACAAGCAAGCCTAAACATTTCAGAAATCTTGCTCACCAGTCCAAGAGCACCGGGCAGTCCGTAGGAACCATCCAAACCAGGAGCACCTTGAATACCTTCTTGACCAGGCTCCCCATAACTGCCCATTGCACCAGGTTTACCGGGTCGACCGGGTTCACCTTGCAGACCATGTCTGCCAGGAGGACCTGGGATGCCGACACCTGTGAAGCAATCTCGTCCTGGTGGGCCATCCATGCCATCCTGTAACACTATCGAAATAACAAGGCTGATTTATATGTTCACCCTCTTGATTTTTACCTGTCCATTCCTACCAGGTTCTCCCTGGTCTCCTGGCTCACCACGTTCACCTCGCTCTCCCTCAGCTCCTACCGCGCCTCGTTTACCTGGCTGTCCCGGACGACCGGCTGGACCAGGTATTCCAGGTGCTCCCGGTAAACCTGGCGGACCGGGAGGACATTTGATCAAGACTAGAAAAAAGCCTAATCTAGAATATACAGTATAGAGCGATTGCAATAGTTAGAGCATACTTTGCGGTCTAGCTGCAGGTGGCCCTGGTGTCCTCAAACCTGGCAGGCCAGGGGATCCTGCTGCGCCGTCTGCACCGATGAGTCCTGGCCGCCCAGGCACTCCAGGTGGACCTGGTGGACCTGGTGGGCAGTCGCGACGTGGAAGGCCACAATCTTCAAGAGGATGTTATTGTTTCTCTTCATAGTAAGAGGTACTCAAACGAATAGAGTGATGCGCAAGTGGCTGGGGCTACTATTGATATCGACATCGCTGCCAACTGACGTAAGTACTTCCAAACATTGAGAGAGAGAGCGCTTCAGCCGCAAGATAGGTAACTTGAATGGTACTAGATGATTCCATTCAAACGCCGAACGTAGTTTTCCTTTCGCACAAACGACGTGTAAAAGGGGCCACTACGATTTTTTTTCTCGAAAAAACAACAAAAGACTCATAACCACTTGAGAAAACCCAACAAGAAGGAAAATAAGTAAATAAGTCAGCCCACGAATAGGACAAATAATTGACGTCAAGGAGTATGAAATAAAAGAAAATGATACATATACCGGTGGAAAATGAGAAATAGCAGAGCACCCATACTCAACTGTGTTTTCGAAAATAAATACTCATCAAACTAGACACGTAAACATAACGAAAGTAAAAAAGTACACGAAATTCGAGAAGTGGTCTTAAAGGAGAGGTTCCGTGTAAACACTTTTGTGATTACATGATCTAACCCACCCATAATCATTGAGCACATCATTATTTTGCCTTTTATTTCGTTGGACGACATAGTACGGTAGCGGCAGACGGCAGGTTTATTTACCATGTAGTAGAGCCGCACTCAGTGGAGTAGAGAGATAAATAAATAAATAAGTAAACAAAAGAATAAATAAGGCCCGGATCAGATAAAGGAAATGATATAAAAGACTGCAACATTTGAGCACAGCTAACACGTTACCATGCAGGGATAAAAATCGATCAATACATGCTGCAACCTGCTATGCACCTTGTAACAAGAAACAAAAACAAAACTTGAATTCAGATATGTTTCTCCTACACCCAAACCTTTCTGGCGATAGGACCCTTTCAACTACTTTTTATTGGTCCTGACTGGGACACAAAATAAACCAGTAATGCAAAGTAGATCGATTAATTTTGATGAAAACTTGATTGACTTACTGCATATGTGCGAGTTTCTTTTGACACGACCCAGGAACGCCGATTTTGCATCAGGACGCCCGTGGAAGTACGTGATACTCGCCCATGTCTCCTCAGAAATTCCCTATAAGATTATCGTTGTTTTTTTTTTCTTAAAATACGATCATTGCTTTTGAAAGAGCAGCGGTGAAAATGTAGTTGGGGGGTGCCAGCGCCCTTCCGTCTAGTTGCTC